AGAGAGAGAGAGAGAGAGAGAGAGAGAGCTACAACTGACCGCCGGTGAGACTGTCATGACTTTGTCAACACTCAAGATATCGTTATCAATGGGTTCGATGGCATAGAGGATGTCATTCATCACAAACAGACCTTTAAAGGCGAAACTTAAACCTGTGATCCAATGGCCGGGCGGTCCGCTATTAGGCAACGACCTGTTCCACAGCTTAAAGTCTTTGTCGTCGTGTTTATCAGTGACAGCAACCATACGCTGATTGGTCCGGTCGTAGGCGGCGCTCAAATAGCCATAATTAAGCGGATCCACATAAGGCAGTATACCTGTGCCGCTAATATTGCCACTCGGCTCCCAATTAAACGGCATGTCAGCCGCGGAACCGATCGCCACAACACCGCCGTTGCTGTCAATTCTGTACGATTTAAAATCTATGGGCTGTCCGTTGGTTTTGTCGACACCTGAGCCGTGAACTATGACCAAGTTGTCCAACTTTTGGCTGTTCACACACTCAACGCTTGCCTCCGAGCAGACATTGGCTTTGAATGTAATGGCAAATAACAGACCTCCGAAAGTGACGCCCAAACCCATGCCTAAGACAATGACAACAATTAGTAGTTATAACTTATAAGCAATTATAGACTAATTGTTAAACACAATGAGTGGGTATTTTGAGACCAGTCTTACCGGGCATTAGCTCATCGATAGTATTACACTTTGTCATAGTCTTAGCGCTGGGATCAAAGAGCCAGTACTTGTCCGTATGGCTGCCACCAGTAGTATAGTGGGAGACAATCACCAAATGGTCGGCTAAATTGTACACAGAATAACCGGCTTCTGGTTTGGGATCCGTACAAAAATCATCGGCGGTTACAGTACTCATCAATATATAGACAAAAGCTATGTTTTGAATCAATTTAACGATCATATTGTGTCAGTAATTAATGGTTTGATCCAAAGAACTCATAAAAAACTTTCAAAACAACTAATTGTGTATAAAATTCTGTTTAAATATTTGTTTGAATGATAACTAATTGCTATTATAGACACGTGCTGTGTATGGCTATCAGTGGCATATTTAGTGCTAAATTTTACATTAATCAATCAAGTAATTCACGCGCGTTATTATAATCCGTTTAGATATAGTGTTAATTGCAGTGAAAATTAATTAATTATGGTTAAAATTGTTAACTATTGTTAAAACGCGTGCCGTTTATGTCAATCCCTGGTATTCAATGTGTAAACAGAATTTCGGATCAATTAATGGCAAAAATACTTCACATAAGTGTTTGACAGACATTGAAAACTACGACAAAAAGACAGTATTATATAATGAATGCCTTCAAGACATTAATGATTAACAAACGCCTAAACATAACGGCTTTAATGACAACCGTATCGACAGTTTGTGGTTATTATTGGTATCAAAAACACGGCAAACAATACAAACACACAGTTGTGGCAAACAATCGACAATTAATATCTAACGTCGGGCTAAGAATCGGCCGAATGAGTGACAAACACAACGAGTATAGCACCGATGATATCGTTGACCACTTCATCAAACGTTTTGTAGCGATATATAAGTCCAAAGGTTATAACGCCGACAACAGCACCGCCTTTGAGTGGGGCTCCGGTATTGTCATCGATAACCACTACATACTGACCAACTGTCACGCGTCGGACGGCGCCGGAGGGGTCGACGTCTACCCCATGGGGTGGGACTGGGAGGGAGACCTCGGCATTAAATATCCGGCCAAAAAGGGACGAGTGGTGTACGCGGAGCCCGACATAGACTCAGCCCTCGTCCGCCTCATACCCGACCAGTTGGACATCGAGTCGGGCGTACAGTTTGCGACGGGTGTAGAGGCCGGCGAACCGCTGGTCATTATTGGTAATCCGCCTCTAATTGACTTCTCGCCGGCCGTAGGTGTGGTCCGAAATGTTGACCGCAGCGCCCAATCCCTGTCAATCGGCACCTATCAAGTGGCTCACAATTACCCGAGCGCTGACAGTCGGCATCTGATCCATGATTGTCCTCAATATGACGGCTATTCTGGCGGTCCGGTCATCAACACAGCCAAAGAAGTGGTCGGTTTGATTTGGGGCAGTATTAGTGACTTTCGCGAGAACTGTGCCATACCTTCCCAATCGGTGACCGGTATGTTATCATTTGAGAGCTAATCCAACAGTGGTTTAATGATAGTATTGTCTTCACGTCTCAATTCATAGCATTCATTGAAAGGGGATTGAAGTTTGAACTGAAGGACAGTGAGGACAGGCGTACATATCGGGCGTCAAAGTCGTTGGGATTAGTGGTCAAATCGGTGTCCGATATGAAGACAGTTCAGCGAAAAGTTTACGGCACATTTGATCCCACAATTAACGCTCCATTAGTTGTGAACAAATCTTTGTTAAACATTAACTGTCGGACCAAACAGTAAAATTAAATCTTATGTTTAACTAATAATAATTTAAAAATTACTTTATTTTAATACTTTTTAGTACTTTTAAAAAGAGTGATATTATCGTTGCTGTGAATGAAATGGCCGTCAATTCTGTGTCCAAACTGAGAGATTGTCTCCAAAAGTGTCCGACGGGTGAAGTCGTGGACATAACTGTCATCCGATCTCTGGATCCAACCAATAGAACACATATTTATGTCAAACCCGAACCCATTGTCTGTTTAGTTATATAATACTTTTAATTAGTTAATTAAATTTTACTACTTTTACTCATTTATATTAACTATTTTTTAAAATAACATAACTCTTATAATATTGTCTTTGTATAAAACATTAAACAAATTAATTAAACGTTTTTTATTATTATAACTAAACCTAGAATTTTAAGTTACATTTTAATACAGTATAATACGTTATTAATAATAAACAAATTAATTTTAATTCATAGAAAATAGCAGTAAATTATTGTTCAAATATTTCAACAATTGATAAATCAAACAGATTTTGGTTCAAATGGTGAAAGAAATGTATCACACATTTAATAGACATTAAAATCTATTACAAAAAGCATTAAATCTAGATGAAATATTAATGCCAGTAATGGTCTCTCATTAACAACAATATAATAAAATGTTTAAATTGTGTCAACAATTCTCATAGAAAGCAGAACTTTAGATCAGTTAATGATAGAAATGTTTCCAATATTTAATAGACATTGAAATCTATGACAAGAAGACAGTATTATATAATGAATAGATTAACGAATAAACGTTTAAACATAACGGCTTTAATGACAACCGTATCCACAGTTTGTGGTTATAATTGGTATCAAAAACAAAGCAAACAATACAAACACTCATTTGTGGCAAACAATCGACAATTAAAGCCTAACTTCGGGCTAAGAATTGGCCGAATGGACAGCACCGACAAGTATACCACCGATGAAATCGTCGGTGATTTTATCGACAAGTTTGTGAAGATATTTAATACAACTGGTTATTACGCTAATGGCAAGGATTACTATACCTACGGCTCTGGTATAGCCATCGACAGCAAGTATATACTGACCAACTGTCACGTGGTTGACGGCTACCTAGGGCTGGAGGTGTGGCCGTTCTTAGGCGACTACACGGGCGCCGTCGAGTTGATGCCATTCTGTGAAAACGGAAAGTTGGTGTACGCGGAGCCCGAACTCGACGCAGCACTCGTCCGCATACCGGGAGAGCTGGACTTAAAGCCCGTAAAGTTTGCGACGAGAGTAGAAGCGGGCGAACCGCTGGTCATAATCGGTAATCCGCCTCTAATTGACTTCACGCCAGCCGTGGGTGCGGTGCGAACAGTGGATCGCAGCGCACAAACTTTGTCGCTCGGCGACTACTATATGGCTCACAACTACCCGAGCGCTGACAGTCGACATCTGACGCACGACTGTCCCCAATATGGAGGCTATTCCGGCGGTCCTGTCATCAACGCAGCCAAAGAAGTGGTCGGTTTGGTTTGGGGCGGCATTAATGTCTACCGCGAGAACTGTGCCATACCTTCCCATTCGGTGACCGGTATGTTATCGTTTGAGAGCTAATCCAGCGGTGATTTAACAATAGTATTGTCTTCTCGTCTCAATTCATAGCATTCATTGAAAGGGGATTGAAGTTTGAAGTGAAGGACAGTGAAGACAGGCGTACATATCGGGCGTCAAAGTCGTTGGGATTAATTGTAAAATCAATGTCTGAGATGAAAACAGATCATCAAAGAGTTTACGGCACATTTGATCCCACAATTAACGCACCATTTGTTGTGAATAAATCTTTGTTAAATATTAACTGTTCGACTCAACAGTAAAATTAAATTTTATGTTGAATTAATTATAATTTAATAATATCTTTATTTAAATACTTTTCAGTACTTTTAAAAAGAGTGATATTATCGTTGCTGTGAATGAAATGGCCGTCAATTCTGTGTCCGAACTGAGAGATTGTCTCCAAAAGTGTCCGACGGGTGAAGTCGTGGACATAACTGTCATCCGATCTCTGGATCCAACCAATAGGACACATATTTATGTCACACCCGAACCCATTATTTGTTCAGTTATATAACAAATCAATTAATTAACTGATTTTAAATAAATTTACTCATTTAATATTAACTATTTTTTAATAACATAACTCTATTTTAATAATCAATAAATCAAACAGATTTGGGATTAAATTATGACAGAAATGTATCATTAATTTACAACATTAAAATAGTAGTACAAAATCAAAAATTTAAAAATAAATATAAACATTAAGTTAATTAAATTTAAATGAAATACTAATACAAATTATTGTTTCGCATTTATAACAATTTGTATGTATTATTCAAACAGTTTTTCGGATCATTTAAAAGTAGAAAATTTTCAGATATTATATAAACATTGAAATCGACGACAAAATTGTATTAATAATGAATCGATTAATGAATAAACGCTTAAATTTAACGGCTTTAATGACAACCGTAGCCACAGTTTGTGGTCATTATTGGTACCAAAAACACGGCAAACAATACAAACACACATTTATGGCAAACAATCGTCAATTAATACCTAAACTACAGCTAAAAACCGTTCAAATGGTGGGCACAGAGAAGTGCACCATCGATGAGATATTGGAGCATTTCATCTACAAGTTTGTGCTCATATACAATACCATAGGTTTTGACGCTGAGAATGAGATCAGTTGTTTAGGCGGTTCCGGTATAGTCATCGACAAGGAGTACATATTGACCAACTGTCACGTGATTGATGGCTACAAACGTGTGGATGTGCTGCCATTTGGTGTGGACGTCGAGGGCAACACTGTTATAAGCTATCCATCAGAAGAGGCGCGGTTAGTATACGCGGAGCCCGAGTTGGACGCGGCCCTCATTCGCATACCGGGCGTCGAGTTGGACATCGAGGCCGTGGAGTTTGGCACGACTGGTGTAGAGGTCGGCGAACCGTTGGTCATAATCGGTAATCCGGACATTGACTGCACGCCGGCCGTAGGTTTGGTGCAGACGGTTGGCCGCATCGGACACACCATCTCTGTGGGCAATCACCAGACGTTTCCACATTACGTGTGCGACAACTTCCCGAATATTATGTTTGATTGTCAGCAATACAGCGGCTGTTCGGGCGGTCCGGTCATCAACGCGGCCAAAGAGGTGGTCGGCCTGTTGTGGGGCGGCATTGATGTCTTCCGCGAGAACTGTGCCATACCTTCGCAATCAGTGACCGGTTTGTTATGCTTTTTTTGACAGTCAATCCATCGGTGGGTTTAATCTCAATGTTATCCTCCGATAGCTTTTATTGAGAGGGGACTGAAGTTTGAACGCAAGGACGCGGAGGACAGGTATGAATACCAGACATCAAAGTCGTTGGGATTAATTGTAAAATCGGTGTCCGATATGAAGACAGGGATCAAACGAGTTTACGGCACATTTGATCCCACAATTACCGCACCATTTGTTTACAACACTGAACTCCTGAAGACTAACTCCGCGGCCATAGAGTATACATGAATTGAATTTTAAGTATAAATTTTAATATAATTATAACATTAATACTTTTTAGGACTTTTATGGAGAGTGATATTATCGTCGCTGTGAATGAAATGGCCGTCAATTCTGTGTCCGAACTGAGAGATTGTCTCCAAAAGTGTCCGACGGATCAAGAGTTGAACATAACTGTCATCCGATCGCTGAATCCAAACAACAAAATACATATCAAAGTCAAACCCAAACTCATTGTCTGTTCAGTTATATAATAAATGTTTAGTTAAACTGCTTTTAAATGTATTCAAATCTATCCATTCTATGAGAGAGAGAGAGAGAGAGAGAGAGAGAGAGCATTGAAAGGCCAGGTATAACAGGTATGGAGAGGTGGGCGCCGGCAGTACTCCTTAAAAAATATATATACTCTCCTCGAGAGTCAATACTGACGTTCAAATTAGTTTTATAGTTGTGATTCAGTATTGCCCTATATTTACACAATTAATTATAGCAATTATTTGCTAATACAGTAATATTGACCCAAATTCTGTGAGAGAGAGAGAGAGAGAGAGAGAGAGATTCGCAAACACGGAAATTATTGGTTATAATTTATTACTTAATTTTTGTAATATTTTCTATTACTTTGTTTTTGTGTAAAATATGAATAAATTTGTAAAATGTGTCTAAAATATTGTATAATTCATACCCGTTTAGATATTTTGTTGAGTTAAATAAAAATGTGTCAATCAGTGGTTTATGTATTACTGAATTGTCACACATTCACAACAATATGTTTAATTTATTTAAATAGTTATCTCTAAAAGCAATAAATCAAACAGAATTTCGGATCAATTAATGGCAGAAATGTTTAATTAAAATCTAAGACAAAAAGACTGTATTATATAATGAATAGATTATTGAATAAACGGTTAAACATAACGGCTTTAATGACAACCGTATCCACAGTTTGTGGTTATGATTGGTATCAAAAACAATACAAACACACATTTGTTGCAAACAATCGTCAATTAAGACCTAAACTACAACTAAAAACTGTTCAAATGGTCGACAACAAGAACTACACCATCGATGAGATAGTAGAGCACTTCATCAAACGCCTAGTGTTAATATACACAATGACTGGTTTGGACATCGATAATAAACCCGAATATTTCATGGGTTCCGGTATTGTCATCAATAAAAAGTATATACTGACCAATTGTCACGTCATTGATGGCCACAAAGAGATCTCTGTCCAGGCGTTTGGCTCCGACTCCGGCTCCGACTCTAATATCTCTGACTCCGGCTCCGACTTCAATGGCTCCGACTTCGGCTCCGACTCTGGTTCCGACTCCGACTCCGGCTCCGACATCGTGGCGATATTACCACTAGAAAAGGCACAGTTAGTGTACGCGGAGCCTGAGTTGGACGCGGCACTCATCCGCATACCGGGCTATTTGGACATCGAGGCCGTGCAGTTTGGGACGGGTGTAGTGGCCGGCGAACCGCTGGTCATAATTGGAAGTCCCGAAATTGACTTCACGCCGGCGGTGGGTGTCGTGCAGACTATCGGCCGCAGCGGACACACCATCTCTGTTGGCACTTATGAAACTTTTCCCACGTATGTCAGCAACAATTGCCAGCACTTGACCTACGATTGTCCGCAATACGAAGGTTATTCCGGCTCACCTGCCATCAACGCGGCCAAAGAGGTGGTCGGACTCGTTTGGGGCGGCGTTAATGACTATCGCGAGAACTGTGCCATACCTTCCGATTCGGTGACAGGTTTGTTATCAATTTAACAGTCAATCCAGAGGTTATTTAATCCCTGTATTTGTTTTCATAAAGCATTCATTGAAAGGGGACTGAAGTTTGAACGCAAAGACAAAGAGGACAGGTATACATACCAGACGTCAAAGTCGTTGGGATTAGTTGTGAAATCGGCGGCCGATATCAATACTGTTCAGCGAAGAATTTACGACACATTTCATCCTACAATTACCGCACCATTCGTTTGCCATAAACTGATGACCAACTCTTCAGCCAAAGAGTATCATTAAAATGAATTTTACGTTAAATTTTACTATAAATTAAACTCTATTTAAATATTTTTTTAGGGATTTTATAGAGAGTGATATTATCGTTGGTGTGAATGAAATGGCCGTCAATTCTGTGTCCGAACTGAGAGATTGTCTCCAAAAGTGTCCGACGGGTAAAGAGTTGGACATAATTGTCATCCGATCTCTGAATCCAAACAACAAAATACATATTAAAGTCAAACCCCAACCCATTGTCTGTCCAGTTATATAACAAATCAATTAGTAATATTGACTTAAACTTTGTTTTGCCGTAAAATATTAATAAAATAATCAAATTTGTCTAAAATATTGTATACTGTAATTACTATTTATTAATTAAAGTTAAATTATTTCCGCATTAAATTCATATTAGATATTTTATTGAGTAAAATAAAAACAAGTATTGGAAACAATATTTATCTCTTAAAAGAGTGTCACATATGCCTATCATTGGTATATTTAAATAAAAATATTGTAGTAATTGTCTCACATTTACAACAATATTATATAAATTATTTAAATAGTTATCTTTAAAACCAATAAATCAAACAGAATTTCGGATCAATTAATGGCAGAAATGTTTAATTAAAATCTAAGACAAAAAGACAGTATTATATAATGAATAGATTAATAAATAAACTTTTAAACACAACAAATTTAATGACAACCGTATCAACAGTTTGTAGTTATTATTGGTATCAAAAACAATACAAACACACAATTGTGGCAAACAATCGTCAATTAAGACCTAAACTAAAATTAAAAACTGTTCAAATGTTTGACACCAAGAACTACACCATCGATGAGATAGTAGAGCACTTCCTCAAACGCCTAGTGGAAATATACATCATCACTGGTTTTGACCCTGATAATGATCCCGACTATTTCATTGGCTCCGGTATTGTCATCAACAAAGAGTATATACTGACCAATTGTCACGTCATTGATGGCCACAAAGAGATCGTTGTCCTGGCCTTCGGCGTCAACTCCAATGGCGACATCGAAATGAAACCCGCCGTCGAAAATGCAGAGTTGGTATACGCGGAGCCCGAGTTGGACGCAGCACTCATTCGCATACCGGGCGTCGAGTTGGATATCGAGACCGTGGAGTTTGGGACGGGTGTAGTGGCCGGCGAACCGCTGATCATAATTGGAAATCCCGACATTGACTTCACTCCGGCGACGGGTGTGGCGCAGACTATTGGCCGCAGCGGACACACCGTTTCTGTTGGCACTTATGAAACTTTTTTTACGTATGTGAGCGCCAATTGTCGGCACTTGACCTACGATTGTCCGCAATACGGGGGTTATTCGGGCTCACCTGCCATCAACGCGGCCAAAGAGGTGGTCGGACTCGTTTGGGGCGGCGTTAATGACTATCGCGAGAACTGTGCTATACCTTCCCATTCGGTGACCGGTCTGTTATCGGTGTGACAGTTAATCTGGCGGCGATTTAATCCCTGTATTTGTTTTCATAAAGCATTCATTGAAAGGGGACTGAAGTTTGAAGTGAAGGACAGTGAGGACAGGCGTACATATCGGGCGTCAAAGTCTTTGGGATTAGTGATGAAATCGGTGTCCGATATGAAGACTGTTCAGCGAAGAGTTTACGGCACGTTTTATCCCACAATCACCGCACCATTTGTTTGCGATAAACTGATGACCAACTCTTCGGCCAAAGAGTATCATTAAAATGATCTTTAATTTTAATTTAATTATAAATAAAACGTTATTTAAATACTTTTCAGGACTTTTATAGAGAGTGATATTATCGTCGGTGTGAATGAAATGGCCGTCAATTCTGTGTCCGAACTGAGAGATTGTATCGAAAAGTGTCCGACGGGTAAAGAGTTGGACATAATTGTCATCCGATCTCTGAATCCAAACAACAAAATACATATTAAAGTCAAACTCCAACCCATTGTCTGTTCAGTTATTTAACAATTTCAATTAATAATATTTACCAGCATTATGTTTTTTATGAAAAATATCAATAAACTAATAAAATTTGTTTAAAATATTTTATATTATTAGTAATTATTAATTAGAGTTAAACTATTTTCTCATTAAATTCATATCAGTAAACATATTTTGTTTATTGAAATGAGAATAAGTTATTATCGCTTATAATAGTTTCATATATGCCTATCAATGATATATTTAAATGAAACATTGTATTAATAATTGTCTGGCATTAACAACAATATGTATGATTTATTTAAACAGTTTGAAACGGATAATTAAAACAATATTTTAATCAATTAATGACAGATATGATACTTTAAATGTGATACAGATTTAAAGACATTGAAATTAACAACAAAAAAATAGTATAATAATGAATACTTTAAAATCATTAGTGAATAAACGCTTAAACATAAGAACTTTAATGACAACCGTATCCACAGTTTGTGGTTATTATTGGTATCAAAAACACAGCAATCAATTCAAACACATATTTATGACAAACAATCAACAATTAAGACCTAAACTACAACTAAAAACCGTTCAAATGTTTGGCACCAAAAGCTACACCATCGATGAGATAGTAGAGCACTTCATCACTCGACTGGTGGTCATATACAATATGACGGGTTTTGAGGCTAATAATGATCCCGACTATGACTGTGGCTCCGGTATTGTCATCAACAAAGAGTATATACTGACCAACTGTCACGTCATTGATGGCCACAAACAGATCGATGTGATGGCGTTCAGCGCTGAATCCAATGACATTGAGATGAGCTATCCATCAGAAAAGGCAGAGTTGGTGTACGCGGAGCCCGAGTTGGACGCAGCACTCATTCGCATAGCGGGCCAGTTAGACATCGAGGCCGTGCAGTTTGGGACGGGTGTAGTGGCCGGCGAACCGCTGGTCATAATTGGAAGTCCCGACATTGACTTCACTCCGGCGACGGGTGTGGCGCAGACTATCGGCCGCAGCGGACACACCATATCTCTCGGCACTTATGGAACTTCTGACACATACGTGAGCGCCGATTGCGGGAACTTGACCTATGATTGTCCGCAATACTCCGGTTATTCCGGCGGTCCGGTCATCAACGCGGCCAAAGAGGTGGTCGGACTCATTTGGGGCGGCGTTAATGGATATCGCGAGAAATGTGCCATACCTTCCGATTTGGTGACCGGTTTGTTAACGGTTTGACAGTTAATCCAGCGGTGAATTAATCCCTGTA